TAATTCCATAAAATTCATAGAAGATTTGTAAATTATGAGCTGCCTAGATATTTACCATATTCAACTTCTCCCTTTCGATTCCAAAAAGTATTAAAACAAATTTCCATAACAACTATATAGATAATCGTCATACAAAGAGAAAATATTCTTATTATAAAAAAAAATTAAAAATAAAAAGTTATTATTCAACAATTATATTTCGTTTTATTTTAACAAATTGAAACAGTTTTTATTTTAATATAGATCTTTTGAATAAAAGATATAGCACATATAGCATTTTTACTTTTTTTTTTAGATTTTTAACACTGTTTGGATAACTTTTCTCAGAAAATTAAACAAAGTGTCTTACAATATTAAAAGTTTTTAAATAAGTTTTTGTATTACAAAAGAAATTCTCAATGAACTCTTTCAATCTACATAACTATTTATACTAAATATAATATATTTTCAATTTAATTTAAAGTTTGTCTATATTTAACTACAGGTTTGAAAATTTATTTTAACTGAAAATATTTATATTTAAAATTGAATCTGTAAATTTGTAAATTTATCTAAAATTGAATAATTGCCTAAGAATTGTATATTTATCTAAACTAATCTAAAATTTGTAAAATATCTAAAATTGAAAAAGTGCTTAAGAATCGTATATTTGTCTAAACTAATCTAAAATTTGTAAAGTTATCTAAAATTGAAAAAGTGCCTAAGAATTGTATATTTACCTGACTAGCTTAAAATTTGTAAATTTATCTAAAATTGAATAGGTGCCTTGTATATTTATCTAAACTAACCTAAAATTTGTAAATTTATCTAAAATTGAAAAAGTGCCTAATAATTGTATAATTATCTAAACTAGCCTAAAATTTGTAAATTTATTTAATATTAAAAAAGTGCCTAAAATTGTATATTTATAATAACTAGCCTATGAATTGTATATTTATCTAATATCTGGAATTTAAAATTTGTAAATTTATTATAAAATAATAAATTGCCTACCTAAATCTAAATAATAAATAAAATTATTAAATTAACCTACCTAACCTAAATTTGTACTAGAGCAATATCACAGATAGTTGTTTAGTAAAATTCTAGGTGAATTTGATTGATGTGGTGTGTTTGAAATTGCAAAAAAATTTCCAAAATTCATTTCCGGATGATATATCAATATAAACGTTTGATTCAATCACGAAATGTTGTTAACTTCACGATCCTTACAGTGTTAGGAAACTTTATCACTTAACGCAACAAAGATTGCTATGGAGTAATATCTGCAGCAAGTTGATATGTTCAGGTTCAAACAGAGATAATCACAGGAATCGAAAGCCCACATCTTGATCAGTTGCTGTATTTTAAACCTTCTCTTCTTACTTTATTTTACTTCTACTTCAGAATGTCACAACTATGTTGCTGGTTGATTGATTCTACTAAACTAATTTGATTCTTGTCACATCACAGTATTTATAGTAAAATTGTAATTCCTTTATAGAAATAATACTTTACTTTGTTTTTAAGAAACATGCAGATTTTGTTTTTAGTACCTGGGACTAAATTTACATGTAAGTGCATATTACTATCCTAGTTATTTATATTTTAACATTTAAACGCAAACAGAAAATAAAAGATTGAAGGACATATGAAATGAAATTTGGGTTTTCCATGAAAAATAATAAATAATTTCTAAGGATATAGGGTACGCAATTATAAATGAAAATCTGCGCAAAAGTTGTGCCTTAACATAAGGATATTTATTGCATTTTTAATCCAGGTTTTTCTATTAGAAAATTCTTTACAAAGGTTTTAACGTTTCAAATCTTATGTATTCTAGGAAATGTTATCTTTAATAACGAAGTAGTCTCATGTTGTACTTTTCTGCATAATTTTGACTAATACTGAACCGTATATACAAGCATTTTGTACACCCCAAAATTTAATACAGAATGTTAAGGATATGGATATATAATATGGGATATAAGGATATAAACGACAATATAGAATAAAAGCTTTTATCAAAAAATTAAAAACTAATTCAATTTAATATTTGATTTTAACATTTCATTGATTCTTGTTAAAGAGTTTTCTATATTGTATTATTTATTTCAATGAAGTTAAATTATGGTAACATAAGTCTCTCCCACTTTTTATTTCAGAGTGGGGGCAGACTAAAATTTAAAAAACAAATTTTATTTCCAAATAAATTCATTGATCTTTACAATATTTATTTATAGTCTGTACCACAAACTATTATATTTCTCACGATATTAAGAAAATTTTGGGGGAAACTCCAAGGGGTCTTAGCTTTACATATGAAGTTGAAATATTTGTAGAGCGGTATAAATTAAGAGTTTTCCTTTCAAGATGCAATCTGTTATTGTCCAATGCAGTGTTGACTATGTTTTACAAAATTACTCAAGTGTAGGATATTTAAGTTGAATCGTTTCTCATTGTTCTCATCTTGATTGATCTAAGTGTTGTATTTTACCCTTCTCTCTACACTTGTGATCTAACATCTTACATTTTTTTTTTGAAATATAGTATTTATCTATATTGTCACAAAAAAAATTTAAAAAAAAGTAATTTAATTTGATTAAAACAAAAATGTATATTATATATTTATATATATTAAAGTACAAAATAACAACATTGAATAATAATAAAATTAATTTTAACGTGAATATGACGGTAGTGATTGTTTTACTTAATAGAAACTATTGTATTTAATAGAGAGGTTTTGAAAAGACGTGAACTACAACATCATATATTATTTTTATATTATTTTAATTAATTGAATTTTTGGCTGACTATACAGTTTTTAATAATGCTAAATACTCATCATCATTGGTTTTGGAATTATGTTGAATTATTCTTAAATTATTTCGGAGGCTGGAAGTATTAAGGGTTGAACTCGAAGCTCAGAATCAGTGTTCATTGGCCAACTGACCCAAAGCCGTACTTGACTTGTGTGTTTGCAGTTTTTTGTGTTAATTTGCAGTTTTTTGTTAATTTGCTTTTAAAGTTTATTAATAAATTTACTTGTTGTGTTATATTAGAACGAATTCATAGACTAACTGTAGAATAATTGAATCATTTAATTATATTCTATTTATTTATTTATTTATTTTTTTTAATTGTTAAATTTCAATACTTGAACGGCCAAAAGTTTAATTAATTAAAATAATATAAAAATAATTTTTGTTGTTGTCGATCACGTTTTTTCGAAACCTCTCTATAAGATTATCATATATTCCTAGTAATTAATTTTGATTAAAATTATTTCTGTAATACATAAACAAACTAGTATAAACATTTTAATCCCTTATAACATTCACTTTTCTAATGACAATTGAAATAAATTAAATCAGTTTGTTGATACTTATTCATGTTGAAAAATGCTAGACAAGCAGGTTGTGTTTTCTTGTATTTCCAGAAGATTTTGTAGACTATATCAGTAAGCTACAGTAGGATATAAAACTTCAATATATTTCTAAAAATATCAAAAGATTACTTGTATAATATATAAAGAATTTCAAACTTTTTTATAATCCAATTAATCCTCGCTACCTCCGTCATATATATATTTTAAGATTATTAAGATCTCGAATTCTCAATGAAATCATTGTATTATATATTAAATTAAACTAGTGTTAAGTTGAATACATTATAAATATGTTCAATATAAAATCATACTAAAAATACAATAGTCAGTGATAAAAGAATCGAAAAACAATTTTTTGTTGACTAGAGAAGTGTGGTGATATATAACAAAGTAGGTGAAAATGATCAGATTTTTGAGATTTGAAAATATTTTACTTAAATATTCATTCAAAAAATTTTTGGTGATATTGTTAGTTTTGTGTTGCAATAAAATACTGTTTTTTAAATAATAAAAACTATCTTGTTATTGCAAGCACAACATAAGCAACATAATATATACATTAGTCCTAAACTGATTTACATAAAGCGGTGTATGCTATGTTGTTTGTGCATTGGAAAGGACATACTTATCTGTAGTGCGTTTATCCTATTAGTCATAGTATATTTATTTTTTTGAATTTCGAGAGTGTGATACCCTTATCGCAAAGAAAATATTGCATAAAATAAATGGAAAACGATTAGGGATAAGGTTTATCTCTCTAATGCAGACAAGTGAAATGATATTGATTTTTCCTTTACAAACGAAACCCAAAAGTACCTGAGAACTAAGTGAACTCAAGATAAGTTTGTATGAAATGCTTATGTCTTGAATAGGTTCCTTCAATAGACGCTTGGCAAAAAGTAAGTCAAATGAACACGTGTTCAAATCAAAATAAGATTAGGTATGATATAAGTATACAGATTTTGTGCAGAGTACAAATATATATTGTAGACAATTATTAAATATACATACGACTATTTTTCTTATAATATTATATGTTAAATTAACTATGTATATTTTTCCTATTGTTTTCATTACTGTTATCAATACTGATCGTGTTTGATAATGGAAGTTGTGAGAATATCATTTTTTTGTTTTAATTAAAACCTTATAGTATCGGAGGTTTTACAATAACTAAATTTTTGCTCCTTTTAATTGCTCCCGTAATATAAACGCCGTTAAAGGAATTTTCCAAATACTTGTTATAGAGAGATTAATCTTCGAATAGAGTTTAAAATTTTTAGTTTTTAATTTAGTGCATTTTTAATAATTCAGGACATTTTTAATATATATTCCAAATCAAATCTCAATTTTATTGCAAACGAAATATATTAAACAGTAACCAGAAAGATTTCCTGGAACATCAATTACTATAATAAAAATAAAAATGAAGAAATAATAGTTTATATTTTATATAAAAGTTTTATTTATTCAATAACAACAAATTTTAGTAAAATTTTAATTTTAAAACTGATCTTTCCAAAAAAGATATAGCAAAAACAAATTTATACATACTTTGAACACTTTTTAAAAAATTTTCTAAAGAAAATTCAACAAAAGTGTTTTACAATAGCAAAAATTTTAAATGGAATTGTACTACAAAACGTTTTTTAATTATTAACAGACTTTTCGCAAAAAGTTCATAACAACATATTTCCCTAATGTCTCCCAAAGCTACAAAGTCGAGAGTCCAAACTTTGTAAACTTATTGAAGTTCATCCTTGGAGAAGTCACCTAACCGCCTATCACTGCAGCTCTGTTGAATAATGCACAAGAAATTTATGTTTAAGCCTGCGCCCAACGATCCAAAAAATTCCATTCGATTTGATATGGTTCGATCGTTTCACGCTGAATTGAGGTCCAAAAAAATGTGCCAGCATTAGTGCGCGCAAAATGGACAGGAACATAAAAATCTTCTTTATCAAAAGTCTTCAAGCGTCGCGTACCATCTTCGTTGTAAACAATTATGGCAGCACCTTCCTCTGATTGATGAATTTCCTCAATGAGGCGATTCTCTAAATGATCATTTGCCATGTTGTCCATGTCACTGCTTAGCCAGTCAAACTCTGATTCGTTTTCTTCGGAAGATATGTAAGAACTACGTTTCGGTTTCTTTGCCTTTGATTTAAAGACTCGGCCCAATATTGGCTTAATCATATTTTTTAAACGTCGCGATGGTGAAACTTTTGATTTATAAACAGTGTAAGTCTGGTTATTGAAGTTATAAGCTTGATCGGTAACATAGCTTGAGTTGAATTTTATAGCTGACATTTTGTGATCGCTTGTGAAATACACGCTTCTTGAAAATTTTAAAATATCTTTCTTACGTGTGTACTGATTGCTCGTTGCTGTAAGAATAATATCCAATTTGAATTCTATTGGGCTATATATACTCTCTTTTCGAGAGAACATGTATAGAGAATTGAGTAATTATTTTGGGTTAGCATACAGCATCTTAGCCAATAGAAACACGATTTACCTGCAGGTGTTCGAAAACAAATTTTCTCACGTTTTTCTTAGTAAGGATTCTAAAATTTGTAGAAGAAAAAATCTTTTTTCAATAAGTAAAATATACGTTACACAAGGATAGCATCAGCAGGTATCTCTTCTACAACCTTTATTACTATGTGCAGAGCGTGAGAAACAAACTTCATGCTTTGTTAAAAAAAATTGAAAATAATCTGTTTTTAGATATTTGCTACTCCGACGTGTATCCTAAGACGCTCATGGGATTTGCGATAGTGTTTTTGGTTGTCCTTATAACTGGAAAACACGCATATCTATAAGAAAATGTTCGTGTGCATACACAATAAACTGCAACAGTACCCAAACAAAGCGGATTGCTTGTGCGATCCTTGTCGATCGTGGGAACACATTATTAAGATTGTAAGGTTACTTTTAATTGAGAGTCCTTGGTGATAAGCGTAAATTGAAACCAAGCCATATGTTGTTGTTTTCAATTTTAATAAATTATGGTGTAATTTGTTGATGGACTTGTCACTGGAAATTTTTTCAGATAAGTAACACCAATAATTAGGAATGAATAAATAATGAATTATTTCATAATAAATCATTATTGCCTAAGAATTATTTACTATAAAAATTATTACTAATATTAGTTTAATGCGATTTTCAGTAATTACTTGAAAATAAATACCTTAACCTTGAAGTTGATTCTTAAACCTTCTGCTCTTATATTGAAAATGATCGAATTAGATTATATATTAATTAGGTTAAGAATGCATTAGAACTAATTTATTTTATTTATTTATTTTATGATTTATGGTATAATATCATTTCAATATATTTTAATTATTATATAATTATTTTTATATATTATAATAATTGATTTATTTATTATTATTAGAATTATTATATTATAATAAAATTTGTAAATTTTTTTGAGTGGTTTTTGTAAACTAAATGAAAATATAATATATAAATATAAAATAATAATTCTTTCTGCCTGTGTATACTTTGTTGCACAAGAAGGCACTCAGGCTGACTGGAGGTGGCTACTGGACGTGACCAGAACGACTCATTTCTGTAAAGGCCAACTATGTATATAAATAAGTACCTAAGTAGTTATACAAATAAGTCAATGTAGATAAATAAGTCTATTGATAATAGTTTGAATTACATTAGAAAGTTATGTATAAGTATGAGTAGAGTTACAGCTTAATGGAACGTATAATGCTTCCATAGCTTCGAAGGTTGTCATATACATATATATTATTAATTCAACAAAGTGAAAGCATTTTACATATTACTCCGAATATAGTGATTTAAGTATTAAAATGGGGATCATGCAGAAAGCGTCTCAAAAAAGCTCTCAATGCAAACCCAAACCTCAAACCATCTGCGATGATTATTGTTGTACATAATCTAAGGATCTGACAATCTAGTGCATATTCATTATGATATCATACTTGTCTGAAATCTATTATTGAAATTATTTAATGGGTTTCATTTTTTCCATTTTTAGTAATTAATTTACTACTTAATTTTAGTCATTTACAAACGTTTTTTCGAAAAAAAAATTATGAAACTTTTAAAATATTTTACTGTTTAGGGCGACATTGGCCCCCATGATGCGCTTTGTGACTGTGCCTATGTATAAGTTTAATTTCAGTTGTTTCGTATGTTATGTGCGTTTGCATTAATAGAAACTTTAGAAAAAAGAAACATTTTATACTATTTAAAAAAACTGAGGGAAAAGTTTGCATACTCATAGATAGCTTGGTATCCAGAGATGGATTCTTTTTTTGTTATACTAATTAATAACTTATGATCAGTAACGTATGGTTTATATGGTGTATGAAATTTTATATATTGTGAAACAAACATTTCGGGAAATTTATGATGAGTATATCTATATACAGATTAGCTTCGGTTAGGAAATATCGACGATCGCTAGGGGATCCACTTACGTCTATTGTTTCATTGTAGTACCGTATAATGAAGAAATTCAGAGTTTAAAATTATCTGGAACCTTTGGCGAAGCTTCTGTTTAGTGAGAGCTCTTGTAATTGATCAAGATTCTCAAGGAAGAGGGTCCTGTAAGTTTTGTTGAGTCGCCGCCGTACATGAGCCGGTAAAGACAAAGTAGATGAGAGGCACTAGTCTTCCATACATAGTCTTCCCTACAGCTTTGATAGGTATGAATGAAAGGGAGATTTAATCTTCTAGCATGGTTTCGTAAGCTGCTATGACTTGTAAACAAACCTACCATAAAACTGTAATCTCTACGGGGCCTATATATACATATATAGTTTTGTGTATAGCTTAAAGGTATAAAACAATTATGAGACAAGTTCATATTACAGATACAAGTACTACAATGTGGTAGTTTCTGTAATCAGAAAAACTTAAAATGCTAATTTAAGCATAAAAGTTAATAAATTATTTATTAATACAAGTAGTATTTAATTAATTAAATTAATGTTTTGCAGTATACTTACATGTAACTGTCAAAAACAAAAAAAAATTTCCATATACATATTTTGGATTAGACTCCCTTATACCGTTTCAGTAATTATATATGTGTATTATAAAACTCGTATATTAATATCATTTCATTTTTTAAAATATTTGACCAATAATCAAAAGAATCCCTGTACATTTTTGTAACGTCAAATAAATGACCCCATTAATCCTTAACGTATTTGTTGAGTTTTTTTCACAAAAAATTATAATTGGGCTTTTTTTCCAGTCATCATTAAAAATTATTTCAGAAAAGGTTTCTTACCTTTTGCCTTGTCAGGTTTCAAACAGGTACCTTCGATGGCAGTTAAGGGTACCTGTTTCAGTGATTGTATTTCTATCTTACAATTAAAACTTGTTTGGATGGTTGTGGTGCATTTCAAAACTAAATAGTGGAAGCATTAACGGCGACCGTAAAGAGGTTTATTTTTTTATCAAAAAGTCTTAAAGAATTTATAATCACTTTTGGTTTTGTGCGCTACAGTTTTGGGCAGTATATTATGTATTTATAATGCTTTAGATAGTTCAGGTTTGCTTGTTATAATCTTTTGTGTTTATAAAAAAATCAAAACTATAATTCGGGATTCAAAAAATTAAGAAAAAACTTGAATTATAACCGATGCAAATTTAGTTTTTCATTCGAAAACTTTTTGTTTGCTAAAAATATTTAATGCAGATAGAGTAGAACCCTTTATTATATATGCAGATTATTGTATAATGTCAAGGTTAAGATTTACCTTATCCAATTATCACAAAATATCTTGACTAAAAGAAAAGAGCTAGATTTGAAGTAGCAAAATATGTGCTGACTTTTGACTTATATGTATTGACTTAAAAATCAGTTTCACTCTAGGGATGTTCTTATCAGTCTACCAAAAATGTAATATAACAATTTTAAAATAGAGTACTTAGAGATATTGTTAAAGCTTTATAGTATGTTAGAAGTACTGACATAAGCAGGGATATCAAAATCACATAAGTTTGATTAAAAAAGAACCTTCAAATGACATCTGAATTGCAAACCATATCAATAACATAAATTCCATACAAATGAAATCAAGAAACTTACTTAGAAGGTTGAAGCCGTTTAATATCTGTGAAATAATGAAGTTCAACATCAAAGGAAACTCATATGTGAATTTTCATGCAATTAAAGAGGTTAATGTGGCAACGAGACCAGAAATTATGAAATTACTTTAAAAACCAAGGATTTTGTCTTTAAAATTTTTACAAATACTTATATATCTTATATTAATAGTTACTATATTTAAATAACTACCACATAAGCTGTATAAATAAAATCTTTTTATATGATATTGTGCTCTCAAGTTTTTTATTAGTTAATCAAACTTCTTTTTTTTTATTCTCTTCTAATGTCACTTAAGTTTAAACAAACTATATTTGAGAGAACTCATTATTTGTGTTTTATAAGAGCTACCTTAGAGGATAGTTATTATTAGAAATGGAAATTTTTTATATTCATATTTTTTAATGCTATTTATAAAAGTAAGTTAATCTTTTGTTGTAATATATACACGCTAAATACATTGTAGGGAACTTCGAATGGTTGACATGACCGATTAAGGTATTAAATGAAGCAGAACAAACAATATAAGAAAGGTCAAGAAAATTAGTTTTAACAAAAACAACTAAAAAAGTTGATATAAAAACAAGATATATAGTTAGTTTTGGTTGTACTGAATATTGAATGCCCTTCACACAAAGTAAATACTAACCAGAATATTATATATCTGTACTATATATTTATATGTCACTTTAAAGCGTCTCTGAAATGATCGTTTAAAGAAATAAGTTAATCGGGAAAAAACTAAATCGGATGAAATAAGATAACTTAGGGAAAAGTTTCTATAGTTAAATTATATGTATAACCAGGTTTATTGAAATTTGAATCCAGTTCCTGTGAACTATATCATTACAAAATTATGATATTGAGAATTGTGATTGTGATGATATTTGTATTGAATTTATACAAATTGAAACGCAGTCATAATTTTGGTGCTTGGATTTATGTATGGAATCGGATTGCAGTTTAAACTTGATTTCGTAACTAACATAAATGAGTTGGTTGAGCCAAACTAGCAAAACCCATTAAGATCACTGCTATATGAATAAGTGTCAACATTTTTTCATTTCACTTGAAGAATGATTGACAGATACAGGCTGTACTGTATCTCGTGAAGTTAATCAAAACTATATATATATGCTTATATTTTATATGCTTTTTGATGTCTCCAACAGAGCATTGCAAGTGGCTGATAAAATTTATTTACCATTTCACACTTTGTGTGAAGGGTATAATTGCTATTGTCATGTCTTAAATGCATCTCCATTATACAAA